TTGGTTTTTCTCCGGTACCAGGAACTGAACTCACGACCTTGCGCTTGCCAGGCAGGCGCTTTTGCCGCTGAGCTAAATCCCCAGCCCCCAAAAGAACTAATTTCAACTGGAGATTATCCCAAATCATAAACTAAACTTGTCAAGGATCACTTATATGTGAAAAAGTGGTCACATTAAATTCTTAACAGATGAATCACACAATTTGTCTGGCCTTACTACTGAGCCCCAAGTAATAGAGTTGGTTTACAATCATAAGACAAAAATGTGCTTCTGATTCTTATTGTGCATTTCAAGTTATTTTTTTCTCTCTAGAAGCCAGTATTTTCACGTAAAAACAATAGCCAACCTTTACTGAAAGTTAACTAGGTGTTACCTAGTGGTTATAATAGTTGCACATGCATTAACTCACTGAATGCCCAGATACAGTGGTGGGGAACCTATGGCACCTGTGCTGCAGCAGGCTGTGTGTGTCACTGAAAGCTCTAAAAGATTTGCTTTCACTGTTAAGACAATCTTAATAAGTTCTTACAAAAATAATTCTTTCCTAACAAATGAATTTTTGAACTGAAAACAGAAAGGATCTCTAGAACAACTCAAGAAATTAAGATGAATTACTGGTTAAATATTTTCCATTAAGTTTCTAAGGGCATGAATAAAATAGATATACATAATTTAAATGAAATCTAGGAACCTGATACATATCAGTAGTCCAAATGAGCAAATAACCAGACAGGTGAAAAACATAGGATTTACTCCTAGGAAAAAAAAAAACTCAACCTGTCATTTTTATCTTTTTCTAAACTGATTTAATATATCTGAAAATTAATATGTATTTTGTATTTACTAAAAACACTATTCTTGGGAAAGCAGTGAGTGTACCTGTCTGGTATCAGTGTTTGACTTCTTAAAAGGAAAACTTAGCCAATACTTGCTACACCTCACCAACAAAGCTTGTACTTTGTAATCAGGCTCAAATTCTAGCTTAACCAGTTACTGATAATGTGATCTAGATCTGTCTCAAACTTTCATCTGAAAATTGGATATAGTAACTATATCTGTCTCATAATGTTATCATGAGAATTAAGTTACACAATACACATAAAGGATTCAGCACTATATCTGGCTGGCATCTACCAATTAAAATTAGTTATTATCATTGAAATTATTTATTATTGTAATGATCTCTAAGACATTTCCTGATATATATATACATATATATATATTTGTTAATATTTTTATCACATTAGATCAGCACCATCAATATGGAGAACAAAAACAGTGGTTACTCAGTTTGATTTAAATATAGTATTAAAAATTAAAAGCATATTGTTCTGAATGGTTTTCCTCAACAAAACAAACATCTGTATTTTATACTGTATGCCTATGTGAAAAGTCTTACCTTCATTGTCATAAAAATAGAAATTATTCTTGAGTAGATTAAAAGAAAATGCTTTCGATTCATTTCCCTCTTTCAATTTATTCACAGACTCCTGGGGGATGAGAGGAGGGAATGGGAGGAAGGTCCAAATACTTTTCTAATTCCTACATGACTTTCTAATTTAGAAAGAATTATGGAAGAAAAAGCTTCTGACATTAAAAATTAGCCTGCTACTTTCAGTAGCGTATAATGAATTAAAGAGACAGAAATTCCATCAATTCACTTCCTTAGAGGCACTCAACACAGTATATATTAAATAAATTTATTTTAGATACAGTAATTTTTTTTTTTTTCAGAATAGAAAGATGACTGCCAGCTTCCAACTCCTGGGGAAAACGCTGCTACTAAGCACTAAGAATACAGGTGCAAATAGATCAAAGAGATGACACACCTCTTATTATGAATCACCCAATGATTACCCTAAGGGTATGGGAAGGGAAGAGGGAAATAGGAGGTTTCAAGGAAAAGTAAATTATAACTTGGGTTTAAATGCTGAACAGCAGTCCAACAGGGAAATAAGACAGTCATCAGGGGATAAGGGTCTGGCACTAGAGCACCAAAAGAAAAAGTGACAAAATTAGGTTAAGCAACAGACCATTAAAAGCCTCACTTAACAGGGAAAGGTTGCTTGGAGTTTATCCTAAAAAGATGGTCAGATCTGCATCTTACAAAATATAAATGTAATGTAGTCCTTAGAAAAATGGATCCCACGGCAGTAAAGACTTTAGAGAAGAAATGTGCAGCAGTTAAAAGGTTACTGCAACAGGGTACACAAGAGATTACCAAGGTCTGATCTAATGTCAAGGTTGGTTTTTTGTTTGTTTTGTTCTGTTCTCTTTTGTTTTGTTTTGTTTTGTTTTGTTTTGTTTTGCAGTACGGGGGTTGAGTCCAGAATCTTTGCCTTGGGCTACATCCCCAATTCTTCTTTTATTTTGAGACAGGGCCTCACTAAGTTACCAAATCCGAAGCTACACTTGAATTTGCAATCCTCCTGCTTCAGCCTGTCAGAGTGCTAGAATCACAGGGCCACCGTGCCAGCTTCATGCATTGGCAATGAACTGGCAGGGAAAAGAATGAAGAAATATGGAAACAGAAATGGTTGAGAGGGAGGAATGGGAAACATTCAGAGGCTGGGAAGGGCTGGGTGCGTTTGGAGAGAGGACAATTAACCGGTACAAGACACACCAAGAATAATTTCTAATGTTCTGTAAAACAGTAAAACAACCATCAATGACAATTACATGTATTTCAAAATAGTATAACTTGCATATTCCCAACACAAAGAAATACAGTAATAAATATCTGAGATGTTGGATATACCAACTATCCTGATCTGGTCATTATACGCTATATACATGTATGGAATATTACTATATCCCACAGATATTTATGTGTCATTCAAATTTCTTTAAATGAAAAAGGTATGTGTATCTGATACTGAGACATTAGGGAGTTTTTTAAGTCTGTATTTCCATTATCTTTTAGAAAACCACTGAAATATTTAAAGATGAAATTAAACACTGCTTACAATTTGCTTCAAAAATTCAAGAGAGGGATTAAGTAGATGGGATAAAACTAACCTTTGTTGATGATCACTGGGCAAGACAATGGGAACTTTGAGGTTCAACTGCTGTTGTGTCTGTTTACTTTAAATTTTCCATAATTAGAATGCCCTTCAAAAATACTACATAAAAAGAAAAATAAAAATATATAAAATCATTTTCTAATTAACTTTTATAATTTTAAATTTAGCTTTCCAAACTAGCATTTTAGTTATAATAAGAAAAGGTCATATTTACATTTTAAGAAGTATTTTATGCTTACAAGTATGAATTTAATTAGAAACCCAAGAAGAAAATCAAGAGGTCAACCTGCACAATCTTCCCATTTTTATTAAAATAGCCCATACAGTAATCTCCACTTACTAATTCCACTTGAATGTACAATCTGACATTTTTAGATACATTAGTAACTGAAGATTCTTCTATTCAGAAAATGTTCTGAATTTACTAAGTTACTAATATTTGATTGTATTTAATTACAAATCTGGAACAAATACATAAAAATTTCCTACATTTTTAATAGTGGAAGCCTTATTCTGCATATACAAGAATAAACATTAACTAAGCATTCAATAGTGCACTGATTGGATAAACAGAAGCATAAATGGGAAAAAAGTACTACCTGGTACAGAAAATGAGAAACACGTAGAAAAGAGCTTTTAAAACCTTGTATTTTACTTTTAGGACATTAAAACTACAGTAATCAATTTACTGATCGTGGCTGAACTGCACTTTAGCTGGAATCTTACTGGATAAATGTTAAATTTGAAAAACTATACTGTCAGGACATCGTTAGAGTTTTTCCTCATCATCTCAGTGCATACGTATCATTACCTACTCCTCATTCTTCCTTCCTCTCCACTACTCAACAATTCTAGCGCTCTGCTTCATTTGACACTCATTAAAACGCATACAAAACTGGAGGGAGCAGAGGGGCAAGTAAAAAGAGCTAAAATGTGTTACATAGCCGTACAAGTCCCCACAATGAATGTAACCATTATGTACTGCAAACATGCACTAATAAAATTCAAAAATAAATCTACGCAAAGTTTTGAGGAACACACATAAGGCATAGGAAGCCAGGCATGGTGGCACATACCTGTAATTCCAGCACTCTGGGAGGCTGAGCAGGAAGAGAACAGGTTTGAGCCCAGGCTGGGCAACATAGTGAGGCCCTGACTCAAAAAAACAAATAAGGGCTGAGGATGTAGCTTAGTACAAAGGCTCTGGATTCAATACCTGATACCACAAAAAACAGAAGAAGAATGTATCATATATCCCTGCCTTCCAGATGCTTTATGAATATTTTCCTTTAATTTTAAAAACTTCTGCTGACAAGAGAATTAAATATTACACTAATATTAAGTATTTAAAAAAATCTAAATTAAAAACAATTCTTCAGGATTACAACCTACACATGAATGAGTAGTGCAGTGATTAAGAGCCAACGATTCCTCAGCAGTATAACTTTCGGAGTGATGGGAACGCAGTGGTTAAGAGCACTGGTGCTGAGGTTAACTGCTTGATTTCTAATCCAGGCGTATCGCTTAATTATGACCTTGGGCAAGCTACCTAACCTCTCCATGTCTCAATTTTCTCAATTATTACATGGGATAAAATATGCCCTACTTCCTAGCTTGTTGTGATACTCAGTTTCGCTGGTGCTTAGACCAGGACTTAGCATAAGAGAAGCAGCAGACTCAGTAACAGAAGTAGCAGTGGTGGTATCATCATGAGAAACCTTGAGTATTTTTACCCAGAAACACAACACCATCTTTCATCTGTGTTCTTCCTTACAAGTTGGAAGCTCTCTTTCAGGATGTGTAGGCCAGTCACGTAAGAAACAAGTATTAATTAAGAGTTCCACCTGGGACAGTCATAGTTTTTAATCTTGACTTTGTCATTAACCAGCTACAGTACATGACCAAAGATAGCAGTCAGCGAAGTAACTACCGTAAGTTATTTCACTTCTCCATACCTCCATTTCCTAATTTGTAAAATTTGATAAACCACCTACACCCTAGTAATGTCCTGAAGACTAGAGTCAGGATACCCCTAAAACAGTAAGCACAGGGCAGGTCATACTGTCCAGCTAGTGTTTGTTCCTTCTTCTCTCCCCCACCTTTCACATAGAATACCTCATTAAATCCTCACCCCATCATTATGAAACCCATTATTAGGTTAAAACATGAAAAACAGCCAAATACTGGCCATTTCATACGTTTCTGCCTAGTACTAATTCATGTACAAATGAAGATAATAAACTCAGAAAAGTAAAATCATTTAAAGTCATACGCATAGTAAGAGATGACGTTCAAACTTAAATGATTCTTCATTAGTCCAGCTTACTGATTTGTTCGGTAAGACCTGCTTAGGAAGGAAACGCGTACTAACCACAGCCATGCATGTAAAACTAATGTAACTTATAAGTTTTTGTTCAGCTATACTAAAAAATGAGAAGTGAGCTATTTCTACAAACTTCTCAATTAAAAAAAATTATCTGTAGAATGTCAATGTGTGTGCTGGGGGAGATTAAGGGTGTAGAGAAAAGAATATTAAAAGGAACATATGAATAACTACACTACTGTAATTAAAAAAATACATATGGATCTAATCAGAAAGCTTGCTAATTAGAAACAAAGCAGCTAAACATCAAATAGCCATCCTGGCAGAAAGATGGATGTACTCAATACCATAGAGGAGTTAGTCTGGGAAATACACAAGAAAGAGTTACATCAAACACTTTGGTTCACAAAAGTATGCATTAACACACAACATTATTGTGCTGGAAAAAGAAAAAAATTAGACTTTTCTTTTAACAGTACTAAATACACTCGCAGTAAAACTGTGCAACTGTTAAGTTTATTACTATAAATCCCACAAAAACTTTAGGATTGCTTCACATAAGCCAGATTCTGAATACGATGTCCAAACATGAAAAGTCCTCTCAAAATTGCACAGTACTGGTAAATAAATAACACATGTTAACAGAGCAACACCCCATAAAACTAGTGAAATATTTAACAGTATCAAATATTTACTAGGATGATCTACAAACTGTTCTGCCTGTTTTCTCCTTGATTTGTCATTTACCATTAAAAAAATAAAACAAAACCTGCCTGAACAAAATAATAAAGGCAAAAACAGAAACTGGGCCTTTCAATAGATTTACAATAGAACAGTTTTGTTTTGATCCTCTTATCGGCTTCTCCTCCAATTATGCAATCATTCCACAGCAAAGATTACACGGCTTTTCCCAGAAAGTGAAATGAAGAAGGTGGAGGAAACAAGATGTATAACAGGTAGCGTTGGAATGGGCAATAGTCTCGTGAAACTAAATTGCCTGATTAACTCGGCGCTCCTTTTTTTCAAGATCTTACCCTTTGGCCATTACAGCTTTTTAAATTTCGTAACAACTGGCAGCTCTCCGCGTGCTGCAGATTCCACCTAGCACCGACACTCGCCCAGCCCCGAAGCGGGCTTTTCGGCGGGCGGCGGGGCGAGCCGTCAGCGCCGGGAGGGCACGCCAGCCGCGCAGGACCGAGTGCGCCTGGGGCGCGACTCCCGGCGCCTGCTCTCTCCCTGCGGGTTTCGGCGAAACCTCAGGCAGGTGACCTCCGCGCCCCGAGAGCAGGGCAGGAAAGAACTCCCCGGGCACGGCCGCCGCGCCCGCTCCCGCCGAGTTGGGAACTCTCCAGCCCTCCGCGCCCCAGGTCCGGCCCCGGCGCCGAGACCGCGCAGGACTGAGTACGCGCCGGCCCGGCGGGCGTTGGAGGAG